AAGGTTTGGTGGTCCATGGATGTCAAGAGAGAGGAGGAGGAGGTGGAAGAGAAGATTCAAAATCAGAATCATGGAATGGTTTGGATTGGAAGGGACCTTAAACACCATCTAGCTCCAAACCCCCTACTATGGGAAGAGACACCTTCCACTAGACCAGGTTGCTCAAAAATACAAAAATTTTCTTCAGTTAGGTGGGGATATTAAAGGAGAAAACATTAAAAATTGGAATTGCAGGCTAATTAAAAGAAAAAAGAGATTAAGCTAAGATTAGGGTTCACAATTAAAAAATAAAATTGTGTCCTCAGTCGTGCTTTCTTCTCAAGCGACATTTTCTCCAGATAGCCAATACTTTCATTAATAAAAAATCACTGCTTTACACTTCTACAGACTCTGCCAGGCACTTGCTCAACAGTGGCTGGGTTTGCAGTGCACTGAAAGTGTTTTTCACAGAACAATATAAAGGTTTGGGCTGCAAGGGACTTTAAAGCTCAGTTAGTTCCAATCTCCTGCTATGGGCAGGGACACCTTCCAGTAGACCAGATTTTTCAGGTTTGGTTTAGAGAGAAAACAAAAGCTGTAGGCAGCTGAAAAATGTGTAATTAACATTGGTAAATACACATCATCTACCCTCCTCCAGCTCTTGATGGCATTTGGTCTCTGTTCCCTAAGCCAGTACAAGGTAGACATGAGCAAGGCACTGCACAGACCCTCTACTCAAAAATATTTTATATAGAAAATTAGAGTTTCACCATCCACATGACTTCACTGTCCATCTTTGCATTTGCAAACACCTATAGCTCATGACAGACCGATCTGAGGTTAGCAGCCACCTAAAGGGAGTTAGACTGTGCCAGCCCAGCTGTCCCTACAGCAGGCATGAAAGTGGCAACTCTAAGCAACACAAGCCTCATTTTGGTTGGATAGGCATTTCTTTCACTTAACTGTGCTTCTGATTGAGAAAACAAGATCAAGGAGGTGGTATTTGTCTTCAGCATTTATTTATCATTGGAAAAAGAACCCTTTGAGCAAGCAAAGATCACAAGCACATCACAATCAATTGGCGGTACATTAATGTGTGTGTGTGAGAGTGTGTGTGTGTGTGTGAGACTTTCATCAGAATATCAACAATGAAAAAGCACCACAAGGAGGTATGCTTAACGTGTTTACAAGAGACAATTTGTGATATGCAACCAAACCCAGGCCACAAAATATTAATTAGACACTTCCTATCTGCCTCCAAGAGGCAAGAATTCTTGGAATGCATGGGTGCCAGGTTTTGGCACTGGCTGTGCTGCAAATGAAGAAGCAGGTGGTTGGTGTGCAAAGCAGTCAGGAGCTCAGCCAGCAATTAGCACCATTTTGCAGAAAGGAGTAACAGTACAACAGTGAAAATGCAAAAGCAAGCAATAGCACAGGAGCTCTCACAGAGTAAAAAGCAAATAATTTCTTTATTTTCTTTTTACAATAAAAGTATAATACTACAAATCAGCAGTGGAACAGAATCAGCATTGTGGTAGGTGGAAACACATAACAGCACAGCACTGTTTCCCAGTGGGATTGACAAGTTCAGAGCCCAAAGTGAATTTGAAATGGCAGAGATTTGGTCTCCTTTCTGATAAATGTGAGTGGGTTGGATGGGCACAGAGTCTGTGGAAGGTACAGCAATGCAGGATTTCACCCTGAGGCTTGCCTCTGCTGTAGTTCCTGGCATTCAATGCAGTGCCAGCCCATGTGCTTGGATATGTGTGTGTGCTTGGATGCATGCTGCAGATGTGGTGCACATGGAGCACAAGCCAGGATTTCTATACCTATTTTGCTGATGTGAGAGGAAGGCATCCAGCCCTTACCAGTCTCCCAAGCTCTTTCTGCAAAGAAAACCTTTCAAGGACCATTCATCCCACCCAAAGACAGGTGTCAAAAATAGGCAGCTCAATGACGCTTGGAAAGTTCCTTCACTAGGGAGGAAATTAAAACCACTGGTTAACACTTCACACCTAGCTTTGTAGTGAGCTCATGGAATGGCTTGAGTTGGAAAGGACCGTAAAGATCTTCTAGTTACAAGCCCCTTACCATGTGGCTTCATGTATTATGGGAAAATTTCATGTATTATGGAAAAGAAAAAAACTTCCATGTATTATGGAAACTAAATGGAAAATATTTATATGCATATTTATTTAAGAAAAATAAAGCTATATTCTGACCAGTCACTGTGTATGTTTCAAATACTATGATGGATGCTCTTCATTAAGAAGAAACCATCCCAAGCTGGATGATCAGCGGTTCCTCCAGAATCGTGGAGACGCTTGGATTAGGTGATTTGAGCATCTTAGTGATGTTTCTTGGGCAAAATTTAGTTCACCTTGAAATCAAGGGCTAAATTCTCATTGAATTCCAGGTGAAACAGTGGCAAGTGTGGTGTATCTTTAAATGTGAAACTTAGGGCTGAAAAATAATAGGAAGAATTGTTTTGTATGGTCTGTCCTCATGTAAGATTGGTGTGTTGAGCTATTTGAGCTGTCTAGTGCCTTCCTGATGTGTTCTGCCTGCTGTGACGTATCATCTTCACAGCTTATGCTACATCCTGTAGGAAAGGACATTACTGAGGAGTTTGAAGATGCATGAAGCATCTTAAAAGCCAAGGAATCACACCAAGTCTTGGGAGCTCATCTTCTCTGGCCAGTTGTCCCTCATGTGACAGGTAGGAAGAACTGCAAGCAGCACAACACTCCACCAGCTCAACACAAGCCTTTTGCCGAGCTGATCTGGAGACAGAGCTGAGCAGTGCTGCAGGGGCTTCTGAGCACTCAGAAAAGCAATGATCAGTATGGACAGGTCAGCATCTCCATATGGCATGCACATAAAAAAAATTCCAACCAAACAAAAAACAAACAAACGAACAAAAACCGAACAACAACAACAAAAAACCCAACCAACCAAACAACCAACCAACCAACCAACCAATCAAAAAAACCTACATTCACAAATGTTTCAACAGTTTTACTTCCTGGAGGATTTTCCCTGGTTTCCTCCTAAACAGTGGAGGTTTAAATATATATATGTATTTATATATATGAATATATATTTTCCACATGCACAACCTGACTAGCTCATAGCACACAGTTCTAACAAAGCTAAGCTTGGAATTACATCACTTAATTCAAACACTACACTTACTGATACTCAAAGGTTTAGGCTATTAGTGCAAGGCAAACAGGACACATCACATGATACACTGAACTTGGCATTTACTCATTACTAAAGCCAGCAAATGTCACTACCTGTATATCACAGAGCTTTCCTCCTCATTGGAAACTTTCACTCAACCTTGTAGCCCACCACTCATTTATGTTTCCAAAAGACCAATTCTAATGGGATGTAACCCCCAAAATAGGACTCCTCACCTTCCCAACTCATCCATTTTTCTGCTAGATAGTTTCATATCTCTAAAATACCCCTAGCATCCTGCTAGGGTCTTACCCCTAGCAGCAAGACTTTCCTTATTCCACCACCTCTACAGCAACACACCACCTCTCTACTCTATCCCATCTCTGTCTTCATGCTTTCTAATTGTCCACTGCAAGTTTCAAGCTGGACTTCATATTAAGAGAGAAAATTTGGAGCTGCAAAAATAAGTAACAAGAACTCTGCATCTTACCTCACAGCCACTCTGCCATGGGAGAGTTTAACAGCTCCGTTTGGTGGGATAAAGATTAATCCTTATGTATTTAGGACCCAATCCAGAAATTAGGCACATAAATTTGGATTGGGACCACAACTCTCCCACTGATCCAGTGACCCAAATTCTATGGCATGCAATGCCAATCTGTTGGGCCGGTTCATACTCACTGACAAATGGTCCTGCTGTATTTACGGCTTCCAAACTGGTTGTGGGGATTTCCTAGAGTAAGAGCACAGTAAATATGATTGAAACCCTGAGATCTTGTCTGGAGGGAGTCTAGGGATCCCAGTAATTTTTTTATGGCCCTCTTGAGATGCTCATGAGCCAACATGAACAGCTGGAAGAATAAACACAATGGGGGCTGACAGCTCTAGCCAACCTTGGTGACACATTTCTTTCTACCCCTTGGAAGGTCAGGCCTGCAAACTAAATCACTTTCTGAAACCTAGCTCTGCCTATTGGCATCCCAGAAGTGGACAGACCAAGATTCAAAACAAAACAGGAATAATTAACAAGATCCATAACTTAGGGGAAACAATAGGGAAGAACAACCTGCTGTAACCTAGTCTAACCTGCCATATGCTTGGAATGTTTTCACTGCTCACTGCACCTTCCCTCACTAATTTTTTTTTTTACATCAAGGACTTCAAGTGGTGTTAATGAGTGAAGCTGCCTTGATGCAGCTACACGTATTTCCAGCTACCCTTGGAGAGGATTTGGCCCTTTACTTACATGGGATCTCCTTCCCTGTTGCTTCTTGGAGCAGAATTCCCATCACTGTCACCAGGGGAAATCCTTCTTGGCCACACCATTGATTTTGGTGGATTTACAGCATATCCATGGCATCATGAATGAACCTGATCCTCTCTGCCTCCAAACTCTTTACCTGTTGATACCAGTGTGAGATGGCATAACAATGGCCAACCCAAAAGGGCCTCACTGGATGAGAGCACAGCCCCACCGTGGCTCAATGGGCACTTGCATGCTGTCAAAGCACTGAAGAACCAAGCCCGAAGAAAGGGACAAGCTGTTGAATGCAATCACTGTTGATCCATCACCTTCATCTTTTAGGACCCTGCTTATGCATTCTCACATCCCTCACTCTGTGCAGAGCCGTGTTGTGCAGGCAAAGCAGAACAACCTGACCTCAGAAACAAGGATTTCCTAATCCTCCTTGGAAATAAAACAGAAAAGCTTCTAATACAATCAGAACAAAAAGCAGATTAGAAGCCTCTAATTAATTTTGTGGCCTTTATTTAATCAAAAGGAAAAAAAAAAAAAGAAAGGAAAAAATGAGAAAGAAAGAAAAGTGCAGTGACATTTACTCTTTTGCCTCAGCCAGTTTATTGTTCATCTCTTTACTTTTCTCCTTATCCTCTGGCTTTGCGGTGTTGGAGGTCTCGGCGCTCTTTTTCTTGGCAGCCCGGCCAGATGCAATCTGCTTGTCTTTGGCCTTTTTCAGGGGTTTATGGCTTGTTGTGGTCTTTTTTGGTTTGGAAGGCTTTATGCTAGGCTTTTCCACCTGCATGGAGGGTGACAGGCAAAACGACAAGACAGAGATGGAGAAAGAGAGAGAGAGAGAGAGGAGAGAGACACAAGGACAAGTGGAAAACAGGATTTAGATCTGAAACAGCACAAATGCTACTTATCTGCTCATCTCTGCCCTGCCACAAAGGCAGGGGAGCAGCTGAGCTTATGCTGAGCTGCAGATGGCCAGCTCCTTCCAGGATGCCCTGAAGTCACTGCCTCTGGAGCCAGCAGAGCCCATTGTATCCAGATCAGGATAGAGCAGAGTGAATAGGAGAGGGAATGTTATCGGTCATTTTATCAATTTCTGCATCTTTCTCTGACTTCAGAAAGGGTTTTGCAAACCCACAGAGGATAGTCATTCTCTGGACTAGAAGCAGAGAAATGATGCTCAGGAAAAAGAGGCTGCTGTAAGTCTCCATCTTTCTTGAAGGAGGGGATTCCTCTGTTTGTCCTCAAACAGATTCCCAAAATGGAGGAAGATTACTTTGGGATACCTGAGGTGCAGAACACTAATTGGCACATGAGAAAATTCCACAACAATGTCTTGTTTCTACACCCCCAAAACAGGAAGGACAGTCACAAAAATCAAGGGAGAACAGAAGCTTTCATCTCTTTCAGTTTCTTACATGCTCACCCTGCAATCATGAGGACTGAGAGCAGTCCTCACAGATCTCAGCACTAATCAACTTAGGGATCAACTTATTTCCTCTATTTAAATCAACTTAGGGAACAACTTATTTCCTCTGTTTAAAACTTCACAGACTGACTCCTTTTATATGCAGATGCTCTGCTGGTCCCAGAAAACAAGGCTGGAAGCCATTTCAGCTCAGGCCCTTCTCAACACATGTTCTCGACCTGATCAAAGCCAGAAGTGCATACTGTCAAAATATGTGGAATGCTCTGAATTAACAGATGTCTGGCTCCTGGAATAAAATGTAAGGTGGGGCTCCTAAAGTTTTGGATGGAGGAAAAGAAAGCTGCCTGGACAATCACATAGGAAATGGCAACAGAAAAACCTCTTCATCTCAGCCCTACCCTCACTTCTTTACCATTTGATGTAAGGCACTATTGTCTTGAAGTGCCTCAAGCTGTCCCAGAGCCGATAGAATTATAGAACAGTTTGGGTTGGAAAAGTCCTTAAAGAACATCTCATTCCCTACCCCCTTCATGGGCTGGGACATCTTCTACTAGATCTGGTTGCTCCAAGCTCCCTCAAACCTGGCACTGGACACTTCCAGGCATGAGGCAGCCACAGGGCCTCAGCACCCTCACAGCCAAGAATTTCTTCCCAATGCCCCTTCTAACCCTGCCCTCTGGCAATGTGAAGCCATTCTTCATTGCTCTGTCCCTCCAGGCCCTTGTCCAAAGTCCCTCTCCAGCTCTCCTGGGGCCCTGTTAGGCACTGACAGGGGCTCTGAAGTCTCACCAGAGACTTCTCTTCGCCAGGCTAAACATCCTCAGCTCTCCAAGCCTGTCTCCATAACAGAGGTAGGTGCCCATCTCTTGGAGCATCTCCATGGCCTCTTCTGGACTAAGTCCAAAAGATCCATGTCCTTCCCATGCTGAGAACCCCAGAGCTGGAAGCAGCACTGAAGGTGGGGGTTTCACAGAGCAGAGGGGCAGAATGGAACAGTGGGGAAGAATCCCCTCCCTGACCTCCCTGTCCATGCTGTGGGATCAACCTAGGACCCTGTTGGCTTTCTGGGCTAACAGCCCACACGGCCAGGACATGCTTAGTTTTTTATTCACCACCATCTCCAAGGTGGATCCCGAGATGCACCTGTTGGTTGAAATGAGGATACCACATAAGGGGAATGACAGTGAGTGGTGTTCAGCCCAGCCTTACTGCATTGGACATGTCCCACCAGGAGCAGTGATGGCCCTGTGTCCTTTCTGCCATGTTTCTCACCTTTGGAGGTTCTTTGTAGGGTTCACTGTAGAGAGTGCGTATTCTTCTGCGTTCCAGGTATTTGTTATCAGCTGGAGAAGGCTTACTGGTTTCCCCCTTGAACTGAGCACTGTAACTGGTTTCATGGGTCATTTTCTCCTCTGGCGGCTTGTACTGGGGCTTTGCTTTTATCGCTTTCACAGGCTTGACGTCTATCCAGGGTCTGAACTCATTTCTGAAGATCAAAAAGAAAAAGGGTTCAGGAATTAAACCAACAGGAGAACAATGATAACATAGGAATGGAGTCCTGCACTGCTTAACCAATTTTATGTGGAAAGGATTTTGCCTTCATCCATCCAATCAGGTTTACATAGAAACTGTCTCCCAACAATTTGTTTATTACCTCATCCAAAACCTATTGACACATTATGAGAAATTTAAATGAAATGTGGTCTATTAACATTAGCTGGTCCTGGACACCCTTTAGCCATGCCTGTAAGTAGAGACTGGTATTATTCCACCTATATTCCAACTATTAGACAGAACAGTTAACCAATTAACACAATGCCAACTGAGATGTAAACTCAAGCTGAGCAGGGGATGCAGTTTATCAGGTATCTTGTGAGCTACAGCTTCCCTTTATTCACTGATAGTGGATTCCTGATTTACAGGGAAAATAATAGATTTTTATTAGTTTTAGTAGGGACAGGAGGTTTTTTGGTTATGTTATGGAGACTTTTTTTATAAGAAATGGTGGTTTTTTTATTTTTATGAATAGTAGCTGTTTGGGGAAAAAACTGTAATTTTAAATTTTTTTTTTCTTTATTTTTGCAGCTTTCTTACACTTGGGTAAATGAGTTATGCTAACTTATGGGGTTTTATTTTAAGGATGAGTTGTTTAAATGTAAAGGTTTTTTTATTTATTTTTATGATTATTTTTATTTTTGGGAATAGAGATCTTTTTCTTCTCTCCCTGGGGAGAGAGGGTTTTTATTCCTTTTTTTGTTTTTAAGTTTTTTATGGGATTACAGTTTTTTGTATTTATTTTGCTTTATTATGGACACTTTTGTTTACATTTATAGTTTGAATACTTTATTTCTTCGTACTTTTTTATGAATTAAAGGGGATATTTTAGTGTATTACAGTATATTTTAATGCTTTTACTGTAAGAACTTTTAATATTAGGGTATTTTTTTTGTATTTGAGACTTGATTTTTTTTTATTGACTTTGGTGCTTTTATGTTGTCTTTCTACATGTTGTTATTTTGCCTTTTTTTTATTTTTGATAAAAAATAAAAGAGAGAGAGATAGGATTAAGGTCTGCAGGTCTCATCTCTGTAGTGAAAGGGTTAATATTTTGTTTAAGCCTGCAGATGGTTATGGGGTTAAGTAGTCATGGTGAGGGATTTTAGGCCTTGCTGGGCCCTGCTGCCTCTGCCTGGCAGCTCCTTGGCGGTGAGGGGCCTGGCCCGGCCTGGAGCCGCTCCCGGGGCCTGCTGGACCCCGGCTCGGCACAGGCCGATGCCAGGGGCAGGGCTTGGTGTTAGGAAGGTGTTAGTAGTTGTGAATTGGCCCAGCTTCAGCAGGCCGCACCAGAGCTCAGTTACCTTTGGAGGCGAGAAGCAAGAGAGAGATTTCCTGGGCTTGCCTGTTTTTAAGATGTGGACTCCACAGAGGCAGACCCAGCTTCTAAATGGTTTAATAGTGTGAAAAACGAGGTTCACATAATTTTTATAGAATTTTGAAGTTTTATAAAAAAGACAGTTAGGAGAAAAAATAAAGTATACAGATACGGCCGGGTGTCTCTGCATTCAGCCAAGAGAGCACACTTTACTGACAAAGGATTGTCCCTTAAAAACAGAATCCTACTACCTATCCATAAATTCTCATACATATTCATACATTCTTCTTAAGATCTTTGGTGTTCTTCTGTTTAGTTTTCTCTTGCCCCCTTCCCAATAGATCAATCTTCTTGGTGCCATTGAGATTTACATTCCCTGATACCAGAAATGCAATAAATTCCTCCCCCCAGAGTTCTGGTCACTGCTGTCTTCATCTGGATAAGATAGTTTACAAATGCAGGCGTTCTCTAGCTATTTTTTTTTTTTCCTCAGTCTTTGGGTTATACAAACAAAAGCAGTTTTTATTTTAATACTATGCCATAGCCTGACATATATGTATTATACTACTATTTCTAAGTTTCATCAATAACAGAAATAAAGAAAACTATATTAATACAACAAAATTTCCCATTCCTATACACATAACATTCATTTTAATATTTGCGAAAAGCCAACAATATAATATGTATCTATAACAATAGGATGCCAGTTTTTAAAACTAGCCAGCTATGTTTTTTTTTTTCCAGGCACAGAGGAAGTTCTTATCAGCTTCTCTCAGGAAAATAATTTCCATGGGTGGTTTCTTTCTTTCTTACTAAATATCAATTAATACAAGACCAACACAATTCTAAATCTAAATCTAAATCCTTTTCAGGCAAATGTTTTAACATCGCCAGCTATTATACTACAACTGGTCACTTCAAGTATGTGAGAGAGCATGGGCCATATTCATATGGAGTCCTACCACACCTGGGATGGACCAGCCACTCCCCATTGTTACCACATACACAGAATCAGACTGGTTTGATTTAAAAGGACTTCTAAGCTCATGTAATTCCAGTTGCCCTACCACAGGCAGGGACACTTCCTACTAGACCACTGAAACACCCAGTGTGTCCAGTTCTCCATATTTGCCATCCAGAGCATGCAGAGACAGCAGAAAGAGGAGAGATTCTCTGACCCTTTACTACAGCTGCAGCTGGTGCAACAGGCTGGTTTCAAAGCCTATTTATGATATTCAGGCAACACATAAACTTTGAACAAGTGTTACTAGAACAGACACAGGCTATTCTCTGTTGATTGCAGATTGCAATCAACTGATTGCAGCAGTGCCCAGAAACTCAACATGGTCAATGAGAACTAATTCCAAAGTCTCTCCATTTCCACCACAGATTAGTGAGGGAAAACAACCTATTGGGAAGGGAAGTGCTCTTGGAATATGCCAGCTCCTGAATCCAACCCAACAATTACTTGGAAAACATCAGTTACAATGGGACAGAATTGCAGCCAAGAGTCTGCTAGCAACTTTGCAACCTGGATCACCATGTTTGAAGGTCAGGCACAGGGAATTTCCTAATGCAAGGTACGAAAGAGGAGTCAGGTGCCTTGCTTGGGGTCTGCATCTCTATTGCTTGTAGGGATGAAGGGGATGTCTCAGGAAGGTAACCTATATCCCCCTTCCAGGTCTGATGACTCTGAATCAAATGTCTGTCTGATACTGTTCAATGTCACCATGACATCGTGTTGTCCAAACAGTACATGGCACAGCTACACTCTCTTAAGGCAGTTGCACTGTACTTCCTGTGCAATGCCCTATTGCTAGAAGTGTTCAAGGTCAGGTTGGATAGGACTTGGAGGAACGTGGTCTAGTGGAAGGTGTCCCTGCCCATGGCAAGGAATTGGAACTGGATGGTCTTTAAGGTCCCTTCAAACCCAAACCATTCTATGATTTTGTCATCTGGAACTGGCTTGACTCTCCAGGATCTTTATGTCACTCAGAGATGTTGTGTCATACATTTACATACTTCTTATATGCAGTGAAGAAATGGGAGGAAAACTAGCAGCTTTAAGAGTTAATTTTAGAAAAAAATAAATTATCCTGGGTATAGTAAAAATATTTGTACTCTAAGGTACCTTATCGGTTGCTCCTGTAACATTAAAACTTAGGCTGGTTTGTGTGGGGACTGACAGTGGTAAAATATGAGATTTTTAGGTTTCAGGCACTAGCTTGAGCCTGAAAGTCTCAAGTGGGAAAGTCAAGTACACAGCTCTCTCACTCTGGCCAGAGAAATCATAAAGAGGAATCCAAACAGTCCATAGACAGGGAAAACAACCTTTGCAGGTGTTGCTTATCCCCTTGTTGTTTACTTGTAAGAAATGGTCAAGGGGTGTAGTTCCTAACTGTCCAATGATGGTGATGTGTTACTTTCATGACCAGTGAAAGTTTTGCCTTTTGGGACTTGCTCAGAACTGTCTATAAAAGAAGATCCTGAAGAATGAAACTTGCTCTTTTTGCAATCAAGACTGGAGAGTCTGTGTCATCACTTCTCCGTTCCTAATACAGTGTGACAGGTTTGGAGAAAGATCCTGTCATTTTGAGACTTCCCTTATTATTATTTAACATTCCAAGGCAAATTTGTGGGAAAGATGCCCAAAACTTACAAATTCCTTCTGCAATCTGAAATAACCCCTGAAAATGTTACTTTCCCCTTATTTTCAGAACAGTAGGTCATAGTGGTGTCCAGGCCTTTGAAGAATTCTGCACACCAAATCAGCTCTCCCAAGTATTCAAGGACCATGTTAGAACCCGTTCTAAAAGAGGTCGGTCTCACAGCTCTCTTAAACCTTTGCTCAAACAGCAAGTACGAACCATGGATCAGCTCTAGTCTGGATGTAAACAACAGGCACAGCTTAGTCCAGCTTTGAAATTCTTTATTGAAGGGATTTTCAGTGCTCTTAATTTTGCTGAGGAAGATTTTTAGAACTGCTCTCTTTGCATGAAATGGAGGGTTTGAACTGAAATAGCAGGAAATTACATGTCTCCTAATTTTCTGCCTAGTTCTGGTCCCAGTCTTAAAAAGAATTATTAGAATCAACAGGGAACCCAGTGCTGACCTGAAATGGAACTTGAAATAAAACTCAGTGAGAAAGAGTATATCAGGCATCAGGTGACCTTTTGCAAGCCATGTTCAACAGGAAAATTTCCCAGTGCGTTTCAAAAGAGTTTATCCATCTACAGACCTGATGAGAACATAAGACTGCCCAGAACAGGGCAGATGCCTTACAAATGCATAGGCAGCAGATCTTACCAGATGACAGTAGCCTGGGGAGGTGGTGGTCTGAACCATATCTATTAAAGCTAAGCCTGGTCTCCACATGTACCAATCAACACCACACTGCTCTTGCATTAGGCTTCGTCCACCCTGGTTGTTTTAATTGCTTTTTCCCTTTGACTGAGGATTGCGGAAGCTGGTGCAAGATAGAGGTGGCCTGAACACCCTCTTTCAGCCCAGCTAGGGCACACTGGGATTGAAATGAGCTCCCATTTGTCTCTGCAGATGATTGTCAAGTCCTGTGTAGACACAGATTGCCTTGATCTACTGATGCCAAAGGA